AAAGTTACAAATGGATGTGATTTCATTTTAATCCAAACTAACTTGGAAAGAAATATACCAAAGTCCAAGAAAGATGTTACTGAGTGTGTGTATTTGTCTCTGTGTGGGTGTGTGTGCGTGTAAGTTTAGTTGGGAGTAAAGGAGTAAATATAGTAAAATTCTCTTTTTCATAAAATTACATTTTAAAATGTCTCAATGAATAAGTATTCATGTTATAGTTTAAAACTTTCCTATTTTTAAATGGTTGCAGAGAACCTCAAGGGCTAGTGTGCATTTTTTGTGTGATAGAGTCCAAGATTCATCACTAGCACCCAATGCTCCCCCAAACTCCTAAATGAGTGACTCAGGAGTAGCTCTGAGTACTGTTGGTGTGGCACATAAACAAATTAAAAAACTAAGTTGCTTTGTTTTTTGGATCACACCTGGCAGTGCTTAAGGCTTACACTGACTCTATACTCAGGGATTAGCCTTGGTAAGTTCAGGCGACAATATGAAGTGCTGAAGATTGAACTCAGGTCAGCAGTGTACAAAAAGCACCTTTTCTGCTGTACTATATCACCAACCACATAGTAAACAAATTTCTATAAAATAAAATAAACAAAACCCCCTAAGGAAATAAGGAATATATTTTTAAAAATTGACTCATACCCTTTATCAGTCTTAGAAGCCTTTGAAAATCTAGTATCTATTCAGAATGTGCTCTTCAATGAAACCATATAGACAGAAATACAGTCATACAAGGATGTAGTTGAGGCGAATTTACCAGTATCATTGCAACCTGAGGCTCATAAACTCCTGATGAGGATTCGTAATATAATGGTTCTTGGGGGTCTTTTAGTTTTCTGACAAGTTTAAAAGGTAAAAGGTAAAGGCCCTCCCGTTGATCGTCGATTTGCTCGAGCGGGCCCAGTAACGTCTCCATTGGAGACTTTGTTGTTACTGTGTCTGGCATATCGAATACTCTCGGTAGCTTGCCGGGCTCTCCGAGAGGGGCGGAGGAATCGAACTCGGGTCGGCCATGTTGGCCGCGTGTAAGGCGAACGCCCTACCCGCTGTGCTATCGCTCCAGCCCCTAAGTTTATGGGACAAGTTTATGGAACAAGTTTATGGAACAAGTTTATGGGACAAGTTTATGGGAATCAAATTCAAGTTTAAGATTGTAGACTATAATGATATTTCAAGCATCAGCGGACACAGGGCAATACCAAGATCAATGTGTGTGTGTGTGTGGTTTCTTATAGACAAAGTGTCTTGTAAGTGGCTGACTACATATAGAACTAATGTAGAGAAGATGACATGTGCTATAATGCTGGCAGGGAAGGATATGAAGGGATTAAGACTTGAATTTCCATCCTAGATACTGAAGAAAACATCCAAGAAGAGATAGTATTTGAGGCAGATCTCAAATAAAGCTCTGAAAAGCAGCAAAAAGACATGCAGCATATCGGGTAAGATTTTTTCAAATGTAGGACTAGAAGGGTAGTTAGGAACAGTGAGATATCTCTTCTGATTGGAGTGAATGTTTCATTAAAAACCATGACACTTTGATAGGGAGGTCAAGGGCATGTGGTATAAGCAGTCTCTCTAGGCTAAATGATCTGTGTGCATGTGGATTTATTTGTGTGATAAATATGTTTCAATCTTTTTTAACATCTCTGTGTTTTAAGGTCTCTTTTAGAAGTCGCTTTGATATGGATCTTAACTATTACCCTAATATGTCTTGTCTACCACTCCCCTACTTTAGTCCAATAAGATTTTCTCTTATTTAAAATAATTATTCTCCAATAATTCAAACAGTTATAGAAGAGAGTAGAAAATGAAAACCATAAAATAACTTTCCATTATGGCACAAAATAAGCTTATTTTTTCTTTGCTCTCATGGTTTAGCTTATGACATCTTGTTCCATTTGAAACTTTATTCCCCTTAAACTACTTGCCTAACAGTCCTTTCCAGCTCAGTCCAATTTATTCCTGTATTCCACAAGAAGTTATCCCCAGAGCTTCCCATTCACTCATTTCCTGATATCTAATTTGGTTACTCATTTTCTGAGATCTTATTTTTAATAAGAGTTTACACAATTTATCACCCAAGTTCTTGTGCTGTACCTGTCCTGCGACAAATACTATATCCACACCTGTGGAAGAAGCAGTGCCATGAATAAAGTAATTATACTCCTATTACAGGATAAAGGAAAGACAAGCAGAAGGGAGGAGAAGAGATATCTGAGTGACATAATTCTAGATTCAAGGTTTTATTTTGCTATTATCTAATGTGACTAGCTTGGGAAAATCACATTTGTTCTTGTGGTAAAATGGAAAGGCCCCCAGGTAATGCCTGCCTTGTGTTCCTACCATAAAGAATTAATGGAAATGCACTTGTAAATTCAGATTTAAGACCCAGACAATAGCTGGTATTGAATATTCACAAATGTTTCAAATGCAAATTTAATCAAAGCTAGCTTACACCATTTAATATATTTATTTCACAATACAAAACATGAGGGGCCAGGATGTGGTTGAAGTGGTGGAAGACATGCCCATCACTTGAGTGAGACCCTGGGTTCAAGTCCTGGCACTATTTTGCTCTTGAATACCAAGTGGTTCCTGGGCACTGCTGGATGTGACCCCACAACAATGACAATTGCAGCAGCATTAAAAAACTAAAAGGTCTGCTCTATAAAGAAGAAAAGGACATCTCTGATGTAAAATTGTGAGTTCGATGCTAAATTTTAGGCCTGGTTTCATAACTGGCCTACTTTATGTGTAGTCATTTCTATCTTGGTGGTAAAACAAGGGTCCATATCTAATTTCCTATTCCAGAAAAAAATTGATTCAAGTCACACCATTTTATTCCTCCTTCTAACCCTGACATTAATGAATGTAGAAAAAAGTAAAACCACTAAATATATTCTATCCCCTAGAAAATAAGGAGGAAAAGATGAAGTAATAAGACTGAAGCTAGAAACTGTTTAACCATACTCTGGACGCAAACACTACGAAGAAAGCTGTGAGTTACCCCAGTCTCCTGCGGGTGGCAGCAGTGGCTTCTCTGGGTGGAAGCTTGTCACTCCAGAGCTCTGCAACAGCAGCCTGATATCTCTCCTTCCTGAGACTGAGAGCTGAATAGCAGCAACTACCCCTGAACTTTGTCAAAAGACCCTCTAGAGGGGCTGGAGAGATAATACAGAGGATAGGGCGCTTGCCTTGCACTTAGCTAACCTGGGCTCAATCCCTAGCATCCCATATGATACGTGAGCACCATCATGAGTAATTTCTGAGTGCAGAGCCAAGGGTAACACCTGATCATTTCCAAGTGTGACCCATAAAAAAAACAAAGGGGGGGAGAGAGAGTGGGGGGAGGGAGAGAGAGAAACTGAGGGAGGAATAATTACTATTTCTACCTTTTTCTTATTGAAATAAGGATGGGGCTACAGACAGAATACAAGGGTTATAGCATTGCCTTGACATGTAAAAGACCCTTGTTTGAACCATAGTCAAGCATGTGGTCATCATAGCACTGCCAGAAGTGACTCTTTTTTTTTTTACCCTCTATTTTGAAGTTTATTAGTTATCAAAGGCCAGGCACTTTTTGTTCATGACCATTTCTGACCTTCTTTTTTTTTTTTTTTTTTACTTTTATTTATTTATTTATTTATTTTACAGTTGTAGATTTACAATTTTTTTTGTGCTTGGGTTTCAATTATACAATGATCAGATACCCATCCCTCCACCAGTGCCCGTTTTTCACCACCATGGATAATATCCCTCCCACCCCCATCCCCCCACAGAAGTGACTCTTGAACAGAGGCAGGTGTAGCCCTACGTGGTGTGGCCCAAAAACAAAAGCAGAAGAAGTAAGGATGAGTGGAACCCTTTCTGTGAAACAAATACGGGTAAGGGTGCATCTCCTATCTTCCTTACAGTAAGGAAGAGGTTACACTATGAAGTGGGGGTTCCTGAATTTTGCTCCCATTTTCATGAGTTCCAGCCTTCATAAAAGAGGAAGAGGAATCCCTAAGGGAGACTTAATTTCTGCTGCTGATCATTGTAACATGTTCTTTGAAAGTGAACATCCTGAATATGCTGATTGACTCTCTCCTACAATGAAAGGTTCCTATAGTGTCAGATAACATAATACATGGTATATCCACTCTATATTCAAAATGACTTGCCACACAAAGAACAAAGACAATTTCAACTTGAGTAAGTTGTCATCAACACTAAGACGATGCAGATGTTAGAATTATAGGGTAAATATGCTAAAGCAGATATTTAAATATATTTTTGAGGAATGCAACATTCTTATTTTTAAAAAACAGGAATTTGAGCAAAGACGTGTACAGAAGAACCTAAAGAAAAATTTAGATAAGAACATCCTAAATAAAAGCCCAATAGCAGCATAATATTAGAACAGTAGTGACAGAAAAATTAATGACAACGAAAACAGGCCAATAGAAAGCATCTAACCTACATAAAAGAGAAAATACATTGAAAAAAATCAATGTGACAGAGCTCCAGGGCCAATGCTAAAGAAATCAAAGACCTAACCTTTGTAATATCATTGTGCAAAGGAATCGCCAGAACATTTAGGAGTTGGAAAAATAGTTGAAGAAATAATGACCCCCCAAAATTACATTTGCCAAAGACGAGCCTAATTCAAGTTCCGTAATTCAAGTTCCGTGAGTGAAATAAACACCAAAAACGCGGGTGAATGCCCAAACACAAGTTAAACCACTCAATAAAACTTAAAAGCAAAGAACGTTTGAGCAGCATGAATGGGATCTATCTAGCGCATTAATTAGCTCTTAGTTGAGTACAGTAATCACTTAGAATTCTTTCAAACTTCCAAAGAGCAGAGGGCCCTGCCCGGGGGGATAAGCTCCCCCTGGGTCTCCAGGTCAACGACTTTAGCACCTGCTCCATCCTCCTGCTCTGGGTCCAGGGAATAGCCTGGCCCTGCAGGGCAAGGTCAGGACTCCACCGGTACCTGCTGCTCCTACCTGCTGAATCTGCAAGTGCGGCTGCTTAAAGTCCATCTGGAATAAGTTTCCCAGGAAGGGCAAGCCCGGGGGCCCCGGGGGGCAGTTCTTGGGGCGCCGCTTTCTGAAGAAATGAGCGAAGAACAGGAAGGCGACAGCGCCCAGCAGGAGAGTGCGCGCATGGAGCACTGTCCAGAGCGCGGTCTCCAGGAAACCCATGGTCTGGAGCGCGGCTGGGACAAGTGGCTCTGCTCTCTGTCTGAGGTCTGAGTAGTCACTGCGGTCGCCGCAATCCCGGGCTGCCCCTCCCTGTCCCGCCTCTCTCGGTTTGCTCTGGGCGCTCCCTCCCCGTCTGCGCTGGGTCCTGATACACGCACCCAGATGATCCGGGTGGCAGAGCTTAGCCTGGCTGCTCTGTCCCAGACCAGAGAAACTCACTCAGTTTTTCCTCTGCGCCCCCCACAGCGCCCACCCGCAGCGCCCCCTCCCCCAACCCCACCACCACCACTGCCTCAGGGATTCAGTGGGAACCTACCCAGGTCCGGGCAAGTGACTCTGAAAGCGGGGTGGATTTTTGGAGTCCCGGTTTCAGCTGACTGACAGTTCTGGGGCTTTTAGATTACAGGAGCGCGCTAGCCTCCTGACAGCCGCTGCTTTATTCTGATCAGGTGACTTGATGCCCTTCTTTGTCCCGTCCTGCAAGGAAAGCGAGACCACGACGTGAAGGACCAGATACCTGGTGGATAAATGAATCGGTGATGTGCAAGCAGCTCAGTAATGCTTCGGAGATGGTAAGCATTACATCAAGCTCCTGGTCCTAAGAAGGGCTTAATTAACACTAGATCCCGGCTCTTGTCAGTTTACAGAGGTTCTTCCTTATAAACTCTGAGGTCCCAAACTCCCACCAGTTCCACACTTCCCCTAGGTTTCACCCATCCCCACCCATATCCTGTGTGGGTCCACCTCTATCTCACTATAGAGGTGAAAAACAGAAAACGCAGCATAGTTAAGGAAACACACACACACACACACACACACACACACACACACACACACACACACACTTTAAAATCTTAAATCTTCTAGACAAATGAAAATCGCCATCAGCATTGAAGTTCTTTCCCCACTAAGTGAAAATGCAAATCAGCACGGGCATTTGGACTCTCATATTTTAAAATGTAATGCAGTTTACAGACAGCATTTTTTGGAGTTGTGTATATATTCCATATGCCAAAAACAGTAGCAACAAGTCTCATAATGGAGACATTACTGGTGCCCGCTCCAGAAAATCGGTGAACAATGGAAGGACAATGCTACAGTGTTACAGTACATATTGTAGATATACTTTATACAGAGTTAATGGTTTGGATTTTTGTTCGAAAGGAAATTGAGCAATTCAAAGATAAATAAGATGAATTTAAGACAATAAGTAGAATCCTGGCATTGATGTTCAGTATCTCTTTGAAGAATTCCCCCTTACATTCTCTGTAGAGTACTAATATATTGCCCCAAATTACTGAATTATTCTGAGAATAGAAAAGAAGAAAGAAAAAGATAGAACAAGAAAGAGATAGAGAGAGAGAGAGAGAGAGAGAAAGCTTGAGAAGCAAATAAACCTTGATCTATTAAATCACACACATGAGGAAAATCCAGAGCAACTAAAAGTAATACTAATTGCTCAATGAGAAACTAGTTTTCTTCTTATTTTGTTTTTATCCACACGCATTTCTAAATAAACTGATGAGGGTCTGGAGTGACAGTACAGTGGGTAGGGTGTTTGTCTTGCATGCAGCCGACCTGGGTTCAATTCCCAGCATCCCATATGGTCCCCCAAGCACCGCCAGGAGTAATTCCTGAGTGCAGAGCCAGGAGTAATCCCTGAGCATCGCTGGGTGTGACCCAAAAAGAAAAAAAAACCTAAATAAACTGATTATCCATCGACAAATCAATTACTATGACTACAAGTATTTTCAAGTGATTTTTCAACATAAATTAATCCATGTCTATGTATTAATACATGTCTATGTAGAGAAGCGACAGTAGCTCTGGAGAGATAGAACGGTGGGTAGAGCTGACATAGCCTTTATAGCCAGCACCCCATGCAAATGCTCCCGCAACACTGCCAGGAGTGATCCCTGAGTATAGAGCATAAATAAGCCCTAACACCTCTTGGGTGACCCTGAGGGCCCCTGCAGATGAGGTAGAAAAGCACTGCAAATTTTGATTGGTTTTCTGGGGCCACACCTGGAGATACTCAAGGCTTACTCATGGCTCTATATTCAGGGACCACTCAAGGTAGACCGGGGGGGGGGACAATAGGGTGTTGAGGATTGAACCCGGGTCACCCACATGCAAAGCAAGAGTCCTACCTGATATGCTATTGCTCCAGCTCTGAAGCACTGCTTCTTGTAGCTGGGCTGGCACTAAGACTCTGTAAAGGTGGCATAATCATAGGACATGATCTCCTCAGCACTGCTTAGGAGATAAAAAAATAAATCAGGTCTGGAAGTTTGGCGTCTGACTTTGACTAGTTTGTTTTTATATCGCAAACTTCAAAATGCTTCTATATTTTTTTTAACTTTTGCCAACATGATTTTGTAAAATCAAATCCTATATTACTAGGCATAAAAGTAAAACAAAATCAAGAAGTAAAGATTTTGTTAACAACAACTGAAGAAATATGTTGCCAGCACATAGACCCTAGCAAAAAATATTATAAGACTGGAGCAATAGTTCAGTGGGTAGGGCTCTTACCTTGCATGCAGTCAACCCCGGTTCAATCCCCAGTACCCCATATGGTCCACTGAGCAACACCAGGGTAATTCATGAGTGCAGAACCAGGAGTAACCCCTGAGCAATGCCAGGTGTGGCCCCAAAACAAAAACAAACAAACAAACAAATTCATATCCAAATAAAGAAGAGAATAATGTTAGAAAAGAAAAAAATAAAATTAAGACAAATATTTTATTCTCTTATTCTTGAGGGTGGGTGGACATTCCTAAGTAGTGATCAGGAGATTCATTGCTTTAGGTTAGGCCCTGTGCCTGGGATCAAACCTGGAAAGGCTACTTATAAGGCAAAAGCCTTCACATAGAACGCATTTTACATATGAAGTTTGAGGCATCTTGCTTTAGTTTTCTTTCTCAAGTCTTTTTAGCTATTTGTGACATTTTGTGGAACCATATGAATCTTGGTATAATATTTTATATTTCTGTAAAATAGATACCATTAGTATTTTGACAGTGATTGTACTAAAACATTTAAAATACAATGGGCATTTTAATAGTCTTCTAATACACAAATGAGCTATATCTTTCTATTTATTTGTTTCTTAGTAATTTTTTTAATGTAGGAGTATTTCTATTTATTCATCCATTGATTAGGCTGATTGAATTGGTCATGAACTCCACCTTACTTTTTTTTCTATTTTTTATAAATTTATTTATTTATTGAATCACCGTGGGAGCAGTTACAAAGCTTTCGGGTTCAAGTCTCAGCCATACAATGATGAAACACCCGTTCCTTCACTATTGCCCACTCTCCACCACCAAAAACCCCAGTATACCCCCCCACTCCACACCCTCCCCCACCTGTGGGGCAGATGATTTCCACATCACTCTCTCTCTACTTTGATTACATTCAGTATTTAGACACCAGACTTGCCATTATTTATTTGGGATTTTACCTCAACACTCAGATCTGCCGAAAAGGCAACCGTAGACAATTTATTTTCTATTGCTGCTTATGAATGACATGATGTCGCGCAGCTGCAGTAGTGGCTGTGTGATTTTGGAATTCTGAAATTTTAACAATTAAATTTGGGGGGATTTCTGCCAAAACCTGCTGGGTTCTGAGCTTTGTTTCTGAGTCTCTGGGATCATGGCCGTTAAGCAGCTTGATCAGGAACCAAAGAGGCCATTCGGGGGTGGCGACTCGTTGGGGCGGGGAGGAAAGGGGTAGCTCCATCCCCATCCTGTGAGGCCCCACTTGTCTCCATCTCCTCACTGCGGTCCCAACCCTGACTGTCCAATGGCCTCTGGAGGATGGCGGCCACTGAACCACCAGGGGAAACAGGCCAAGGCACGAAACCTATTCCCATCTGGGGTGACCCGGCACCTGTAACCTACTGCGGGGACCAGATGCATTTCTGCCAAAAGCTGCTGGGTTTCAAGATTTGTTTCTGAGTCTCTTGGATCATGGCCATTAAGCAGTTTGATCAGGAACCAGAGAGGCCTTGTCTCGAATTATATAGCTGAGCCGGAGGTGGTTTGTGGGTGTGTCTCCCAATAACTTAACTTTTGGCCATTTACTTTTTTGGTAAACTATTCCCCAAGTTGTTGGGGTCTGACCAAAGGCACAGCAACAATTTGGTGGTATATAGAAGTCTGAAGGAACCACCAGGCTACTGATGCACTCTCCTCACAGGTACAGATTGACCTGCTGGTGGCAGGTCTTTTAATTTTTTTTTTCAAAAATATTTAGCGGTTTTCAGGGCATATAAAGGTCTTCCTGTATAGTTGTTTCAATGCATGTTGTCTTTTGGTTGTGGAACTAAAATTACTTCTATTAGAAGGTGACATCTTTTATGAATATATCATAAAGGCTACACACACACACACACACACACACACACACACACACAAATACACACCACAAAAAATTTTATAACTAATGAGTTACTTCAGAAAATTTGCAGGACACAATCTCAATATTCAAAAATCAAGAGTAGCAAATAAAAGATAGCAATGAACATAGATTTTATTGAAATGTACCAATTGTCACCAAAATGTCAATGATTTAAATTCAGTAACTAAAAGAAGTTTCCAAAATGATAATACCCCGTTCAGATTAATGGATAGAAAAAGAGTTGAGATTTGAGAAAGATAAGAAAAGTCAGATGGCTCATACTTAATATTGTAAATACATTTTTTGTTTGTGGGACATACTTGGAAATGCTTGGGGTTTACTGCTGTGCTTGGTGACTGTTCCTGGCAGTACCTGGGAGACCACAGTGGTGCCAGGGATCAAACCTGGAAAGGCCAGTTGTAAGGCAAGAACCTTAATCCCAGACTCAAAAATGTATTTTAAAGTTCCAGTAATTAAAACAGGCATTGTTACAAACATAATCATACATACCATCAGAACAAAAGATAAGCTTATAAACAAATCCATAGCTATAATGTCAAATGATATCAACTAAAGGGTGAGTATTACACTTAATGAGAAGTGATAGTCTCTTCAACAAATGTTTCAGGAAAACTGAATATACACATGCAAAATACTGAAATTAGATCTTTTCTTACATAATATATAATCACCAACTCAAAATGGATTATGACAAACATTACACCTGAAACACAACACTCCTGGAAGGAAACAGAAGGGAAAAAAAACTGCATAGCATTGGTAATTTTTTCCTTCTTAGCATTACATTATTTTAAATTAAGGTAATTTTCATTTACAAATTGTATGTGTTTTAGGAGTATATTACACTTATTTAGGAGTATATTACACCTATTTGTATCTACCACATCGCTCTAATCTTCCCCTATAGTTTGGTTTCCCTTTCACAACTCTGGCAATCTCAGTTGAAATCCAAAGTCAGAATCCAAAGATTTATTTGAGTTTTAATGTGATACCTTTCTTCACATCAGGGGTCTTATATAATTATCATGTGGGTAGCTTCTATTAATTAGTGAATTTAGATCATTGACATTTAAGTGATTATTTGTACATTTTGATTATTTGTACATTTTGATTAATATCTATTCATTATTGTTTTCTATTTACTTCTCTTTT